ATTGTGAACTTACAGTCAGCTTTCAAGTTATCCATATAGGAAAATGCTGTTTCTTCAGGTGAATTTCTACTGACTTCGCTCCTCTTTCACAAAACTGAAGGATGTATTTAAGAAGTATAAACAGAAACTAATTCAGAAACTACTGAATAAGTGAAACCATTCAGCAGATAATATATCAATTGACGCAATAATTAATCTTGGAGAAGTAATACAGATTAATCTCATTTATATTTCTCCAAACATGAGATAATATGACAACTTTTTCTGAAAGTATCAGACAATTATGTCAAATATCATATGTTACAAGTTTACGCATTAAACTACCACTGATAGACATAATCATAATAAATAGAGTACTTGCAGAATTTTTAGTCTACATTTTCTCTGATGTTAATATTCCTATGTCTGGGAAAAAGTGAGGATAACAAAGAAGATTCCTGTACTTTTCATCAGTCATCTCCATACTGATAATACAGGTCAGAGCATTTTAAACATTATATAAATATCTGGGTAATTTAGGGCAATGGTAATTTACGAATGCAAACCATGAATTCTTCACTTTCTGATTTGTTCCCAAATCCCAAGAAAAGAGGTATTCATACATCAACCAGCTCAGAAGTCCTGCACATTGCACTGAACTTAATGTGCCACAAATCACACAATCCTGTAAATCTGAACTACACAAGCACATGAAATAAGTTGCAGTCAAATAAATTGTCTAAACTTTCCTAAAAAAAAAAAAAAGCTCCCTCTGGCCAATGATTGAATAAAAATACAGTGAAACCTATTTTGACTGATTAAAATACAACAAACAACTACACTGAATTATTGAACAAAATCCTGCTTAGGTTTTCTTTGCAACGGGCAAGATGCTGGAAAAAAAAAAATACAAAACAGGAAAAGAGTTTGCCTCTTTACTAAGAGCTAACTGTCACTGGGAAGAAGCTTTTATATATGGAAGACCCAGAAAACATTCCATAGGTAATGGAGGCTAAAGACTGTGGTTTCTTGCTGCCCTAATGTTCCCCTAATGACTTTTGCCACCAGCTTAAGAAATTGTGAAATGTCCACCTTTTGAACTTAATGACTTCTCTACCTGAATAAAGGCTACTCAGAGCCTTTTCTTCTCTATTAGATAAATTCTGATCCCTCAAAAATACTTCTTTAGCAAAAGAGTTTGTATCATCCTAGTTTACAAGCACGTAAACATTCAGTGCAAGTGCAACAAAGTTAAAAAATATCATGATACAATCAATAATTTTAATAAAGCAAAATATTATGCCCCTTTGTGCAAATTCATCAGCAGGCTTTTCTCAAAACAATATGTATCACCTATTGGTATTGATTTAAAATTTTATCAATTTGTGCCTAAAGTTCCATTTAGTCTTCTTGCAATGGCATGCAAGGGGCTACCATGCATACAGGAATACATTTCTATGGCAACAGTTTGAAGTCTAGGCTATTCTTAGATTGTTTTCAGGAAAAAAAAAAAAAAAAAAAAAAAAAATACAAGGTGTTTTGTTATGTTGTTTTTTAACTAACTAAATGAAATATTCTATTTGATTTTTTTTGTTTTGATTTTTTGTTGTTTTCACAAACACCCTTTTATAAGCAAAAAAAAAAAAAAGATAATTCTTTTTACTGTTACAAAAGACAGAAGAGATAAGAAGTGACTCAATGTGGTATGTGTTTTGACTTAATTTATGATTCTTAAGTTTATTTTTCTGTTTAGTTGGGTGCTTTGTTTTGATAAAATGACCTTGAAATGTCAATCAGACAAATAAGATAAATATCATAATTCAAACCTGAGCATGGTACAGTATCAGAGATTTAGATGATCTATTTATCCTACAGGCAAGTGTCTGAGAGATGGAAGAATGAATCATGTGAGTGTTAAAATCAGAGCGTGTCACAGAAATAAAAGGGGTTATTTTGTTGTTTCTTCCAACCCTCAAACTAGAAGCATGCATAAATGCATACCTTCAATTCCCCAGCTGACTTGACATTTCTATGTACTTGTGCCAATGAAATAGTGCTTTAAAGAAAGTAGGAGACAAAAGTCACAAGCTTATGCTACATCCCAATGATGGAAAAAACATAATCACATGTATTTAGTATTATAGTCTCTTCAGTGTGCGTATGACTTGCCTCAGCCAGTGATTTGGCATCTTTAATTTACAATCTCTTTTATCTTAACTTCCATAGCAGCGAACCTAACATAACAACAATTTTTAGCGCGAGGTGTATTCTGACTTCTCTTTTCTTCAATTTTCTCACTGCAGTGGCATGGGGAAGGCAGCAAGACACAAATGGTAGTCTAGTGGTGTACTGTCATGTTCTTAAATATATTTAGACTATGCTTAAGTTAAAGTGGATGGCCTTGTAATGATAGAAATACTGACTCTTGGGTGAACGCATTTTCCTTTTCTTCTCAAGCAGGTAGAAGGGAAGCACAATGTCAAACTAGTGACTCTACTGCCATCACTTTGTCTTACATAGAATGTCCTGGAAGAAAATCAGTGCAGAAAAGAAGCAGGGGGAAACAAAGAAGGGTCCCTGAAATTGGAATGGTTTATATAATTAAACAGGACAGTATGTTTCCAGAGCTGCATAATCAAACACCAAGTATTATCTAGCAGACTGCAGAATTTTCCATAATGATAAAGGATTCTGGAAGAATGATCTTCTCACATTTAATACTTCATGAACACCTGGGATCAGGCTTCTGCCTCATTTTCAAGAGTGTATCAATTGCAATGTCTCTGTATGTATGTCTTTTTTTCTCATTGCATATCCCAAAGGTAGGCATTTTCTATAAAGCAAACCGAATTAGTATTTGAAGTTTAGCAAGTCCCTTATGGTGTTTTACTCTTTAAAAGGATTCTCTGCCTGGAGAAAGCCAGAAGCAACGTGACTGAAATTCTCCATATCTCCACTGGGACTTGAGCTCTGAGTTAAAAATGATTTGCAAGGGCTTTCTCCTTTACAGATATTACTGGGTTTTGGGGCACTTTTCAATATCAGAATAGGATCAAGTGCAAGCTGCCTGTAGTCTAACTGCAGTCCTATGCTTTGTTTATTTCAGCATCTAATACTAAAGGTTCAGAAACCCAGAGCAGGGATGGGAAAGTCCTTTCGCTAATTAGCTTTCCCACCTCCAGCAGCAGCTGGATTCCAGCCGCCCACAGCAGCTTCACCTTGCCAGCAGTCCAGCAAGCTGTGTAAGGGCCTGAAGTGCTGACCAGTGAAATCCAGCTCTAGCTTAATGAGACCGAGGTAGGCAGAGTCAATTAAATCAAATTCTCACTAACATCCCTAATACATCTGCAGTGTGTGCAGCAGAGGCAGTGGCAGCAGCAGCAGCAGCAGCAGCGAGAGATTCACAGTATTAATAAAGGGATTCACTGCCGCATTACGAGAGAGAGAGGAAAGAGGGTAGGGTGGGAGGGAGTAAGGGAGGCAAGAAACCTGTGTGTGTTATTTACATTGGGGAAGACTGTGACACTGCACGTGAATAAATGAGAAAGAGGAAGAGAGGGAGAGAGGAAAGCAGGGGGGGCTGGAAGTGGAGAGATGGAGGAAGAAGCATACATCACTGAAAGGAAGCTCTATCCCCTAAACCCAAATAACCCACTTGCAAGAACTGATGCTGGAAAAATGGTAAGGACCCAGAGTTGAAAACATTTTCACTTTAATACTGAAAAAAATATGCCATTATAAAACCTCAAGTAGAATTAGTAAGTTTCACTTGCTTCCTCGGTTCTAATTTCCTCAAGTTATAGTAAGATTTACAACAGCACAGATTTTTCTACCATTAAACTCTGCAGCCTAAGCACTAGAGTGACATTAATTGGTCATGCTTAACTGCCTTGGATTTTTTTTTTTTTTTTTTTTTTTTTGAATGTTTACACTATTACCATAATAGAAATCAAGAGTAGTAATTTTTACATTCAAATGGAAAGGCAATACTGAATATGTATACTGAAAAGGAAAAGAGAGAAAACAAAGCCAAAGCCTACCCCCCTCCCTACCCTCCCGCAAAAAGAACTAAAACTCACCATTGAGAAAGAAAACACCTCCCAAAAAAGCCATCCCCACATCAAGAAAAAAATAAAAAGAAAAAAAAAAAAAATCAAATGAGAATATTCATGCAACTATGTCTTAAATAAAACCTTTACATGCCTCCACCCCCCCCCCCCCCCCGACCTTAACAACAAGAACAACCTCTCACGTCTACGTCAGACCAAAAAAAAAAAAAAAAAAAAAAAAAAAAAAAAGGCGAAATGGCACTTTTATTATTATACTGTATTTCTTATATAGAAGGTTTGATACGAAGGGACTTATCAGGTAAGAGGGATGATGGTGTGAACTAGACGCTGCTTCCAGTCGCAGGCTGGAGCGTCCCTGGGGTGCGTTGTATCCATGCGAGCCATGCAGCAGTTGTTTTTTTTTGTTTTGTTTTGTTTTGTTTTGTTTTAATTTTTTTTTTTTTTTTTTTTTTTCATTTGTCTGTTTCGGAGTCAGTCATTTATTTACATTACATTCATGCCTTCGTGCAACTTTCTACTCCTGCTTTGTCAGGAGGAGGCTGACAGCAGCCTTTCCTCCGTCCCCCTCATCTTCCTGGCCTCTCAAGGGAGGGGTCCATCCGAAAGGGAAGAGGACAAAAAAGCAAAACAATCCCCAACACAACAGAACAAAGGCCCAACAAAACCGAGAGCCATGGTTCGCCCTGCTGGAGCCAAAGAAAGCAGGTCCTTGCTCGTCCATTGCCGTCCCAGCAGCGCTTGGGTAGGGAGACGTGCCCCTCCGCCGGGCTCCCCCCACACGTACCAAGCACAGCTCTTGCTCTGGGGGCCGCAGTGGAGTGTGCAAGTGTTTTTCATTTCTCACAAAAGGTAGCTGAGGTGCAGAGCCATCCCTGCAGGCATTTGCCTCTCCATCACCGGGAGAGTGCAAGGTCGGCCCGGGCAGCAGCCACCTCTGCCCCACCCACCTCCTCAGTCCGACAGGGAGTGGGAACCACAGTCGTAAACCCTGTGGGCCCCATCAGTGCTGTAGGGCCCGTTGTGCCAATAGGATGAGTCGCAAACAGTCTGCAAGGAGTTGATCTCAGATGCAGATGAGTTGGCATCCCTCCTCTTGGACCGTTTTCTGTTCCTCAGGATGAATACCAGCATGCCAACCACTGTGAAAGCAGAGGTCACAAAAACCAGCAGCAGCCCTGGCACTAGCACCGAAATGGAGACCCGGCTGGTCTCCAAGTAGGAGTTGGAGTGAGTACCTGTCTCTGAGACTCCAGTGCTGTTTTTGTTGGTAGAACTTAAGGTGGGTGATATTTTTAGCTGAGGGCAAATCACGTCATTGGAGAGGGACTCAAAATCCTCCTTGAAGAAATCTTCTGGAGACTCACACCTCAGGTCACTCATTATCACCTTGGGGCGCAGCATTTCCGCCCACTGTTTGAAAGGCACGATAGGGCAAGTACAGTCCCATGGGTTGCCGTGCAAGTCGATCTGGGTGATGGAGGTGAGCTGGTCCAGCACCCCTGCCACTGGGAGGTACATGAAATAATTGTTGTGTATGCTGAGTTTGGAAAGTGAGACCCCGGCGAACACATCAACTGGGAGAGACCTCAATAAGTTGTTGTTGAGGATGAGGACTCTGAGTTTGGGCATTGCATTGAAGGTTCCGGGCATGATCAGCTGAATCCCATTAAACTCCACATTCAGATACTCCAGGTTTTGCAGCCCAGTGAATTTCTCCCGGGATAGAGTGTCTAAGTAGTTGCTATCCATGTACAGCCATCGGAGATCGAAGAGGTTCTTGAAGGTATTGTTCTCAACAGTTGCTATGTTGTTGTTTCCCAGATCAAGTAAATTAAGTTTTCGGTAATCCAGAAAGTGGGATTTCCTGATGGTGTGTATTTTGTTGTCTCTCAGAAACAGCTCCTGCACATTGGATGGCTTAGGCTTCAAATCCACCAGGCTGCTTACATTTCTGTCATTGCAATTAACCTTTAAACCTGAGCCAGGGATCTGATCACAGCTGCAGATCTGAGGGCAGGACAAGACAGCTGGTTGCTTGCTCTTCACACTAACAGTTGACACAGCAGCAGTGGGTCTAGTTTTGATTTGCCAGTTGACAGGAATCTTTGTACCTCCATTTGGACCAGATCCTGGTGTGGCAGAGTCTTCTTTGCCATGTATTTTAAAGGGAGTTGGAATGGGACCAGGATCACAGGTTTCTTCTTCAGCAGGGGGAGCAGCTAGACTAGAATCCACTCTGTTCTTTTTGCACAGCTCTTGCTCTGTGGTCTCATTTAAATCTTTGCCCTGCAACCTAGTGGGAGCTTCACAAATCACTCTGCCGATCAAAGCATTTTTGGGTATGTTTTCCAGCCATTCCTTCAATGACAGCAGATCGCAAGTACAGTCCCAGGGATTATCCTCTAGCAGGATTTCAGCGATGCCTGGGATCTGCTCCAGAACCTCCTCATAAGGCAAGGTTTTAAGACGGTTTCCCCGGAGGTCGAGGTGGGTGATCGGCACATACTGAAACACATTTGGGGGCAAAGTACTGATGAGATTGTCATTTAAAATCAGCACCTCTAGTTTGTTTAAGTCCCTAAACGCTCCTGGGTCAATATCCCGCAATAGATTAAAATCTGCCTGGAGGTATTCCAGATCGTCCAGCCCCAGGAAAGTCTGCTTCCTGAATGATTTGATCTTGTTGTTGTTTATGTGCAAGCGTTTCACCAGCTGCAGCCCCAAGAAAGCCCCAGGAACAATCTCATGCAAACCATTGTTTTCCATGTGCAAACTGACTGCATTGTAAAAGTTAGCAAACTCATTAGGGAAAAGTCGAGTCAGGGAATTTCCATGCAGGAATAAATGGTAAAACTGGGAAGTTGGGGCGGTGAAATGTTGCAGGCTGGTAAATCCCTTTTTCTCACAGTCTACGTGCAAATCCCCTTCTATCTCGTTGCAGGCACAGATCTTCTCTTTGCAAACGTCCCCTGTAACGTTTCCAGCAGCAAAACAAAGAGACGTCTCCAGCAACAGAATCCAAAGCAGCATTTTTAAACTGAGCAATTCATTCCCGATCTCATCACAAAGTAACAGCAACCATCCTTCTCACACGGAAAGCAATTCCAGTTCATTCAATACAAAATGTCCAAACCAACACCAAAGGGGGAAAAAATGTGGGGAGGGGGAGCAGGAAGGGTCGGTGGAGGGGGGGGGACGACTCTTTCTTTTCTCCTCTCTCCCCCCCCCACATACATCTGCAGCAGCCCAGATTCCAGTCAATAATTATATCCACAAACTCTCCAGGCACGTACTGCAAGGCACGCAAAAAAAAAAAAAAAAAAAAAAAGTGGAAGGAAAAAAATTCCTCCTCCTCGATCCCTCTCCCTGACGCTTCCCGGGCAGCTAAGCGGAGGTCTGCGGGCCGGCACGGGAGCGGTGCTAGCCGCCAGCCGCCAGCCGCCGCTGCATGGTCGAGAGGAGCAGGCGGAGCGCGCAGCGGTGCCCGCGGAGACTGCCGCTGTGCGCGGCTCCGCGCCGGACTGACCTTGCCGCGGAGCCGCGCTCCTCGCCCGCCGCCCGCCGGGTGCTGTCCAGCGCCCCGGTGCTGAAAGCGCGCCCCAGTCTAGGCGCTGGCCGCAGAGCCCCCGGCGTTCCGCGGCGCCTGCCCCAGCTGCGGAGCGCTGCTGCCCATGATGCCGGCGGCGGGAGCTGCCGCCCGCCCGCACGCCCGCCCGCACGCCCGCGCCGCGCCTCGCCCCGCCGGCCGCGCTGCCTCCCCTCCTCGCTTGCTCCCTCGCTCGCTCGCTCTTCTTTCCTTTTTCTTCCGCTGCTGCCGAGTAGCACGCTCGCACACACTCACATGCACGCAGAGGGAGAGTTGCTAAGAGGCTCTGCTCGTTTCAACCTGGTGCACTCTGAAAGATCTGACACCCTCTGCTGAGCTGCAGTGGCAAAAATCCATCTGCTGAGGGAATGCTGGATTTAAAAAAAAAAAAAAAAAAAAAAAAAAGGAATCAATACACGTACATGACAAGCGTTAAAAATGTTGGCATTAAAAGCTGCCGATCTATTTAGATGCTCTTTCTTAAACAGATTATTTAATTTATTTCTTTCCTTTTAAGATGGGAAGTTTAGCGTCCCCCCACTCCCGACCAGTTAGTTCCCTGTTGCCCCCATCCACACGGACATACCTGCACAAGCAGGCGAGGAAGGTGTATTTGCCTTATTGTATTTCCCAACGACTTGAGCAGAATTAGTGTCAGGGTGTCAAGCGAGTAGCAATTTGAGGTAATTATGCTGCACGCCATTTTTATCGTTGCTTTAAATGCATTTCTTCCTCCCCTGCAATCTACAGTATTTCATGCTGTGTTTAGTCTCTTGTTGGCGTTCTCTATATAATGAAGAAGCGTGGATTACTGCATTATATATACATACATACATGCATATATATATATATAATTCAGATGATCAGAGAAGAAAAAGGGATAGGGAGGAGGGGATTGCTGCACTGTTAGCAATTCACGGCACCTACGGAGTACAGCGTCTCCCCTAAGGAGAGGAGGAGAGGGGTGAAACTGACAGCTGTGCATTTTGACATTCTCCTCTACACACAAATAAATCTAGGTAAGCACGTATATGCATGCATGGCTATTTCCCTAGGGATGCTCTCAATACCCGCTCCGTGGAAGCACAACGGCTGCTCCCCACCCCCACTGCCACCCCACCCCCCGCCGCCCTTCCCTCCCACTCTTCTGACAAAAGAGATTACACAGCGGAAAAATCGGTGCCTGGCCTTACAGACAGGAGCCAAGCACACAAAAGTTTCTGCATCATTTGGACGGGTTTCAGATGCCTGCGAGCGAAGGACCAGTTGCACCTCTGGTGCTGGGAGTGAATGCGGAGCTCCCCCCATCCTTGGCAAACCGCGTCGAGGCGGAGGAGGAGGAGGCGGGGGCGGGTGACGCGGACCGGCCGATGCATTTCGCAGCCCGGAGCCGCACCGCTCTTGGCCGGCATGCCGGTGAACTTTGCGGCACGCAAGAAGAGGGGAGAAGTTAGCGCGGGGCCGCGGGGGGAAGGAGGGTTATTTATAGGGGAAGCCAGGTGCAGCCCGCACCCCTGGTCCCGGCGGCATGCTAATTTGGTCAAAGTTTTTTTTCCCCGTCTGTCGCTTCCAAGTGAATTAGACATCCTGCCGACGATGATCTTACCAAATTAATGTAATTAGACTGCAGACAGGTTACAACGTGGCTGTTTTGGGTCCCCAAGATGAAGGTTTGGCCTTTCTGGTGGATGCGGTAGCCGAGGATTGCGGAGGGCGGAAGGAAGCTAGGGGTATGGGGTAAGGGGTGGAACAGGACAGAAGAGGGAAAACAGATTTAAAAAAAAAAAAAAAAAAGAGAGAGAGAGAGAGAGAGAGAAACAGAGAAATTCTGGTCCTGAAAACGTCCCCCCCCAAAATTACAAAAGGTCCAGAAGAGATAAAATGCCGCCGAGAGAGAAAGCACGACAATAAATATATTAGTCGTTTCATTAGGAGAAAAAAGAGGGGAAGGAAACTTGGCGCCACGTTGAGGCGCATTAATTCATTTCTCTTGTCGCCGGCTCTGACTTTGCCTCTCGGTGCATGCCGGGGGTGGGAGGACTCGGAGCTGCCTGCAAGTGTAGGGGCAGCCGGAGGCAGGACAGCCCCTGTTTGAGTCCTCGGACGGAGGTGGGAGAGTCAGGAAAAAGGAGCGGGGGTAGGAACAGGTTTGGAATAGGGGACCCACTCATGTTGTCAGCAGCAACGACCCGATCTCCGTGAGTAAAAACACGGGAGAGGAAGCACCGATACGCTGGAACCTGGTGAATGCTTACTGGGATGTGTGGCAGGAGGACTAAAGATCTGCTCAAGAATAAAGCTTCTTAGCATCTTTACCCTTGTGTTATTAAAATTGCTCAGGCACCATAAAAATGATCAAAATGCAACCAGAAAAGCTGAAAGTTAACGAGATATTAAATAAATAAGTATGAATTAAAAAAAAAAAAAAAAAAAAAAAAAAAAAAAGCGGAAGGAGAAAACGACCTGCTGTCAAAGCATGAAGGACAAATAACCTCCTTCTTCCAAGGCATCTACTGAGAGGTGGAAACTAGTGGGGGCAAAACAAATGAAATTTTAAGGAGGAAAAAAAAAAAAAAAAAAATTGTTAGAAGACCTAACAGTCTTTACAGGCACTATGTAATTTCCAACAGAAAATAGTTGGAGATGGAACCTGTTGTGCTTGCAGCTGTATACTTTGGAGCTGTAAAGAAAGATCTATATATGTTATATATTGTTTGGAGTACATCTGCCATGTGAAAGTTAACATCTAGAAGAGAAGTCAGAGGGGAAGAGAAAGGGCATAATCCATTTCATATTTGATATCTGAAGCTTTTGTTCTGTAAGTCAAGTTGGAAAAGGTGTGTCAAGGCCATGAAATCAATCTGTCATTACTCAGTGCCATAATCCTAAATTTCCAGATTTCTTCATCGTCTTATGTTAAGTATGGAAACATATCTGGGGAGAAAAGCCCTGCCTCTAAGTATTTTCAGGAAATGTCTGCTCCTGCATCAGGGCCTCTCAAGCTAAGATGTTTTACTCTTCTATTTAGACAGTGATGTAAAGTGAGAGATCCTACAGCACTGAAGGACCAATGAATCTGGGTCTTTAAAATTCAGTATAAGCATCCCATTTTAAAAAATACAGACAGGTTGAACAATCACAGATCACATTATCCGCTCCAAATTATCCTGTGTTTTAGAAAGGGGAAAGAGCACACAAGGACAGTTCTATCTTCCTTGACTCCTTTCCTTATCTGATGCCTTTCACCTCCCGCTTTCCTTTGCAGCTTCTAGAAATGCACAGTAGTAAGCTTCCCACTTACACATTTCTTCAGGGATTGAAATCCTGTACTTAAGCAAACACAAACAAATTGACTCCAACATCACTGCTGCCTTCAGAATAGGAATGTTTTAACTCCTAATATGGAAAATATCTTCAAATAAGCAAATGTACCGGGATACATTTACATTTTTCCCAGCTGGTAGCCTTTCATCTCCCAGTTGTTATGACTATGCAGTAGTAACATTGTAAAATTGGTTAAGGGCTTATTTATGCTATATGGAACCATGTTAAAAAAACTAGTTGTCTCATCTAACATTGTAGACTTTGCAAAGCAGGACTCAGAGCATCTGTAAAGTATCTACAGACCAAAAATTGCTACTGTAGAAAACCTGCTTGCAGCATTTTAATATGTGATCACAGAATTGTAGGAGTTAGAAGGGACCTCTGGAGATGATTTAATCCAACCTTCCTGCAAAAGCAGGTTCCCAGAGTAAGTTGCACAGGAAAGCATCCTAGTCAGTTTGGAATATCTTCAGACAAGGAGACTCCACAACATCTCTGGGTAGTTTGTTCCCGTAGTGTTCCATGTACTTGTTCCACGGGAGATATAAATATGCGTGTATACATATACATGCACGCACACATATGTATATATATGTATAAATGCACCTACTACATATTGTGATGGATGCAGAAAATAGAAAAAAAAATCATAAAATCATTATTTCATTTGATATTATAGCTTATATTCAGACTTTGGCTATGCTGGCAGGTAAAATTAACACAGGTGCGTACATACATTGATGCAGCCCCACCAGAAAAAGTTCCCCTGGTGGCTTTAGACATGTTCAGGTCTAGTTTTTACTAAAGGTAGTGATACATTCACCAGATGGAGCTTTGTGAAATAATAAAGTAGTAGATGATAATGATTTTTTTATTATTTTTTTTAAGGAAGAAAGAAAAGAAAGTTGGAGAAGTAGTGTGCCTGTTTCCATCTAGTGGGTAGGAGACTGGCTCAGCATTAGAAAATCAAAATTCTCTATCGTCTGCACTGTATGAGAATTCCGGCCCACATGTTCCTCTTTTTTGGCTCATACCCTCAACCATCAGGCTACCAGCCCTCTTGCTGCAGCTGTTCCACTTCACAAGAAACATTTTAAGATTTCCTTGAACCAGAGAAAGG